TTTCAAATATGGAACTCTCCAAATTCATCTCCATAACTGCTAGCCTCAATAATCTTAATTTATTGTGGGTGACGTCACACTCCCTTAGTCCACTTCTTTATACAGTCTATGGCTATTATATTTTGAGAATGATATGCTTTTTACAAATGGATTTTAAAACAGTGGATTTAATTGTTGTCGTAGGACAATAAAATTTTGCATAACATTTACATGTTGAGCAATGTCAATGGGTAGTTGTTTATTGTTGTAAATTATTGTATTGTCATCTGAACAGCCCATTCAACAGTTTATATTTGTTTGTGACCTTATCATGACAATGATGATTATTATGCTCCCAACATAATTTAATTCAACCATAGCTTATTACAATATTATGAAGGCATTACTACAGGGAACAAACAAAAATCTGAATTTTACATTGTTATTGTTTGTTCTTAATGTTGGTTATTCCAAAAGCTGCAGCAGGTTATGATATATATATATATTTTTTTCCAATTACAGGACATTTGCACAGAATTGTAGAAATATAGAAGTGTTGAATTTAAATGGCTGCACCAAGATCACAGACAGCACCTGCCTCAGCCTCAGCAAGTTCTGCTCTCGACTCAAACACTTAGATCTCACGTCCTGTGTGTCCATCACCAACCACTCTCTCAAAGCCCTCAGGTAGCACACACTGACAAACAGGGAGCTCAGTTATACTTACATTATGTGGTATCCATAGATTTACATTGACATGTATTTTTTCAGTGATGGCTGCAGGCTGCTGGAGATGTTGAACTTGTCTTGGTGTGATCAGATCACACGTGATGGCATTGAAGCCCTGGCACGAGGCTGTAGTGACTTAAGAGCACTGTTCCTCAGAGGCTGCACACAGGTAGCACTAGAACTTATGTCTTCACTTCACTGCATAACACTTTATTGTTATTAATTATTGTATTAAAATAATATGTAATATAGTATGTTATGTCAAAGTAGTTTTTGTTCATTGTTTTTGTCGTCTTCTAAACTTTCTCAGCTGGATGATGGAGCATTGAAGCACCTTCAGAAATACTGCCCAAAACTCACCACCATCAACTTGCAGTCCTGCACAGTAAGATAAGGCTTGTAATAATGAATGTTGTTTGTGTATTTTTACATGATTGTTTTTGTTTTTTCTTGCAGCAAATAACAGATGATGGCCTGGTCAGTCTTTGCAGAGGTTGCCCAAAGTTACAGATTCTTTGTGTATCAGGGTGCAGTAACATCACTGATGCCTCTTTAACTGCATTGGGTCTCAACTGTCCCAGACTTAAGTAAGAATCATATATTCTGTTCATTTGTTATTGTTTATCCTTGTTCATTTTCATTTGCAATTCTTTATATTTGTGGCTGTATGTGACAATGAAATATAGTCTACATACTTTTTACCACTAGACAGGTTTATTGGTGACTTTAGAGCACTTGTACAAAAACTATGTACTACGTTTGTTTTTAGAATACTAGAAGCTGCTCGATGCTCCCATGTTACCGATGCTGGGTTTACTGTTCTTGCAAGAGTGAGTAAATTTTTTCTCATTTGGTTTACTTCTACATGCATCATTGTTATCTATACTTACTTTCACTTGATTTTTCTTATAGAACTGTCACGAGCTTGAAAAAATGGACTTAGAAGAATGTATTTTGGTAAGGGCACTTTTTTATGTTTAACAATATTTATTACTAATGTGTTAAAGTTTTACATTATTTCACAATAAAAAAATTACATTTTAATGTGCAAATTGAGTACATTAAATACAGTAATAAAAAAATGGTTGTACCATTAATTTATATTGTTAAAGAGATCATAGTAACGAATTGTTCTTTTCCACAGGTGACAGACAATACCTTGGTTCAACTGTCTATCCACTGCCCTCGCCTACAAGCATTGGTATTAAACTTTGCTTAACCCATACGACTGATTTCTATACTGCATGTATTCTGACATGTCTATTGTGGTCCAGTCCCTCTCACACTGCGAGCTGATCACAGATGATGGTATTAGAGCTCTGAGCAGCAGCACCTGTGGCCAAGAGCGCCTCACAGTGGTGGAGCTGGATAACTGCCCTCTCATCACAGACGTAACGCTGGAGCACCTCAAGAGCTGCCATCGTCTGGAGCGCATAGAGCTCTACGACTGTCAGCAGGTCACACGAGCTGGCATCAAGCGCATTCGGGTGAGAGGATGTTGACCTGTAGGGCAGTTATTTCAATGTAGTTGAATTATGAGGTCTTACATTTTTATTACTTACTTACGCTTATTCCATACCAAAATGTTATCTGATACTTGTTTCGTATTCAGAAGTTTAGATTAGAAAAATGTAGATTAATATCAAATGATCAACTTCAGTCAAAATAAATTTGCACACTCCATCTGAACCTTTCCATTTTCTTCACAGGCCCACCTTCCTGAGATCAAAGTCCACGCCTACTTCGCTCCTGTGACTCCACCTCCCTCTGTGCATGGAGGTGGCCAGCGTCTGTGCCGCTGCTGCATCATCCTCTGACAGTGGAGAGCCAGGGGGGGCCACCTCTGTCTACAGGTCCTGCTGCTCTGAAATCGGGGGAAAGGGGCTGGGATATATGTTAATGTTTGGGGCAGGGGGAGGGCTGGACCCACTCACTTCTCCTGATCAATATATTGACTGGTCGCCTCTGATTTGCTGATCAGTTGTACCTGCCCCTCCTCTCACTTCATTCACTCAGTGCTGCAGAAGCCCAAGATTTATGTTTTGGACAAATCACAGATAGATGGACTTTCTCTGCATTTTCTCACTCTCATTTCAAAAACTAAAAATGACTTCCACCATAATGCTCTACACACTCCAGCGACCCAGGCCTTGGATAAATAAGGCTTGAAGAGCAAACACTGAAGTAGTGTCTGAAAAAAAAACAACTCTACAATGCATCATGTTCAAATAGAAAAATATGAAAATGTCTCTTTGAGGACTATCATCTCAACCAATCACTGAACACCTCTACTCTGTGGTCACCCTGTGAATTATTATGACCAGTAAACATCCATCATTTTGGACAAGGAGAGCTGAGAAATGCATAGACCTTCTAAAATACTGTTATACTGAAACCTCTGTGTGAGCGAGGGACACAGGAATGGACATGCAACATACTTGTGCATCTAAAAATACTTATGTTGAGATTTTGTTATGTTTGTACAGAGAATGTTTTGCAATGATAAAAGATTACACTTATGTAAACTCACTCACAAAATAAGAGTGGGTAAAAGGGTTTAGTTTTATTTTACCATTTCTTTTCAGTGCTTATTGTAATTGTTGATGCCTGTCTATCCAGATCAGATCAGATGTCTTTCTTTTGGAAATAGAAGAGAAATGTGATGTGGACAAAGTGGACCTATTGTTCAGAGATTTGATATCAGAAAGCATTATGTTGAGTTTATTTGCTACTGGGGTAGATTGGGCACTCTGTACTGCGTGGTTCTGTTGGCTTGTAGGCCCTAATCAATCCTGTCAGTAGCTTGTGCACTAGCTCCTACCTGAATACTTAAGCATTTGTTTACATCCTGGGATTAGATTAGCATCACGAACATGTTTACAAGAGTCGATTTCCAGTCTGCCTACTTTGTTAGAGGTGACTTTAGTAATATTGATATGTGAATTCTACCATGATTTTTAAGAGAGTCAATAATGTAATGGGTCTGCTGCCTGTATTTGGGTATCATTCAGGGCTAATTTTGGTGCAACTTTGCCTCAAAAAAAAATTTAAATTTGATTCTGCTAAGACATTTGAGGCTGTGTGCAAAGGCACCACGACATAGTGACAATCATAAAATTTGTATTTAAAATATGCGAATTAGGTGGTGATTATTATAACATAGATTGCACTGAATATGTTCCAAACTTTCAGCCTAAAGTCCTTTAATTTAGAATATGTATGCCTAATGTCACATGTCTTGCACAGTTGTAGGTTTGTGATGTATATCATATTTTCTGGAAAAATGTGATATGGATTGGAGAGGCACAGACAAAGTTCAGGCAGCCATCAGTACTGATTGATCAGAGTCTAGGAAGTAGAAGAAGTGTCATCTTGGGGAGATGCACAGGGCACTGGAAAGAAGTAAAACAATAATATCTAAACTAACTGAATAGGGCAAAAATAGTTCACCAATTGTGATACTTAAGCCCTCTCTATGGCAGTTTTAACAGTTTTATGTTTGGAAAAATAAATAAATACATGGAAAAAATAAACAATAAATGCAAAAAGAAATGGTGACATCTCGGTTTTGTGATAGTTATTCAGAAGTTATGGTTGACTGTAAAACAGGTACGTCCAAATTATTGCCAAAAAGCACCCTCTGACATTTGTGGAGAATTCCTCAATTATCCAGGTAGAATTCATGGCAAAGGAGAAATTCAATTTGTCAACTGGACAAATGTTTATTTATGTCCCTCTGACACTTTTTGTTTTGTGGTTGAGTTTAACCTGTCCTGTATGCAAAATGTCTATGTCCCTTAATGCTTAATCTGTGGCCTTGTTCACATGCACACCAAAATCTAATTATAATCTAATTTATGGACCTTTAAGATTATTTAAATGACACGTAAACTGCAACCCTGATGTGAGTAATTTCGGGGACCATGATCAGAAAGAAATTTGATGATTTTGCTTTTTATATTTCATTTTAATCATTTTATTACTCAAAAAAATGCAGTGCGCAGGTAATCGCAACCTGTATTTCAATATGAAAATATCAATATAAAATAGACCCCTGTAAATAACACTACTGTCTCAATAAGCAAGACACTGCCACAAGGTGTCAGCAAAGATCTACAACTGTAATAGACACGCCCAGTGCTTAAAGTAAAGCGTTTATCCGTCACAGTTAATTTAAAGGGACTATATGAGTTCACTAAAAGATACTTGGTTTAATAATGCAGATTGTATAGAAAATAAGACCAAATGTGTGGTTTCAGGAACATGTTTATTTCAGAATTTGCGTCAGGCATCCTGTTGGACAGCTGTGCGGCGCCAAGGACCCAGCCTGGATCGTTGATCGGTTGCGCTTCTCTGTGAACTGCGGTCCCGGCAGGTTCACTTCACACGGTTACCGAAATTGGCGCTTATCTGCGGATTACAGAGAAGAATTTTACTGTGTGACTGGGTTGCAACACTTTGCTGGAAGTTCTCTGCAACTTTAGCGGTCAGGCATAGCGTCCGTGGATCTCTGCTTGTAGACATGAATAGACCGAAGTGAAGCCCGGTGCTGGGCCTCCGGAGCGAAGCACTAGCCTTAGCTCTCAGCTAGCTCTTGTTTGGGTCGATGCGCTAATAACCTACGTGCTGTTTTACGAGCATAACAGATAGCCCAGACCGCCACCTTCTTTGGAAAACCCCAACAACTCCGCTATACCGAAGTTCTTTTAAGTTTTATGTTAACTATTTGCTTACCCGTCGTAAAAGACAAGGAAGGATAGCTAACCTTAAACGTTGCTGTGTTTAAAGTTTTATTTGCTCTGAAAGATGGTTTGTGGATGAAGTATACAACAAGAAATTTGCACATTAACAACATACATGTACATCATATTTAAGATTTTTGTCGCCCATACGCAGAGTCCAACTGCCTTTTTACGGGAGTGCGCTACTCAGTTCAAGCCCTGACTTCACACCCGCTATCTGCAGTCTGCGGCCAGCTCCCGGGGCTGGCCTCTCGGCAGCAAGTGCCCAATGGAGGAACATGACAATATGGACTATTTCTACCAGCAGGTAGTACAGAAGGACGTGTCCCGCAGGTTACAAGCCGGCCAGGATCTCATTGATTACCTGAATGACCCACAACGCTCCCCGGACGTGGAGCAGGACAAACCCCGCTTAGACAAGACGATAGACGAGTTAACGGGATGGATCAACTCCAGCAATTTCAAGGTGAGTCTTTAGACTTTCAATGGACAGCAGTCAACACCGGCCCTGCAGTAGGTTTTTCCTCACGGGCAAGAATACATTTTAATCTTTAAACTGACTGTAATGCTCAAATGACAAAGTGTGCACCAACACATTTGTGTTTCAATAGAGGTTTATTTCCAGTTTTTTTTAAATCCCGTGTTTAGGACGAGATCGTGTGAATAATGCAATACATTCCTGGGGTTTGTGGTTTTCTTTATAATGTTGACATTGCCAGTATAGTGGGCATGTGAGGAGTCCTATTGTCAGAACTGTAGCCTTCTGAACAGAGGGGGAGGGGCCTCCAGACTTCTTATTATGACATATGCTTTTCCTCCATCCTTCCCCCCATTTTCCATCTGTCTGCTTTACCAGTCACGTCTCGTCTGTGATACATTGGCACTTGTGTAGTACTCCTATTTCAGATAAGTGACATTTTTGTCACCAAAGTCAAGACATGCCTGAGCATGCTTAAAGTTGATTTCCTTTTTGATTACTTTTTTATAACACCTTTGTATCTAAGTTTAGGCAGGGTTAGAATGTGGGTTAGACTTGAATACCTTATTCTTAATTTTGTATGACTTATTTACCAGTAAGCTGATGTGTTTGTTACGACACATGTGTGCATCACCATAGTGTGAGCCAGATGTTTTCAAAACATTAGGCTAATCAAATATAAGCAGCAGCTCTCTTGTGTACCTTGCCAAAGAGGAAGGCGCTGTTAGCTGTAATATGCTGAGTCAGCCCCAGAAATGAATGTCTGGACAAAGAGGTGGTGATGCATTGATGGATGAAGGGGAATGCAGCACGAGAATACAATCAAAGAAACAAACTTCATATATTTTTTCCTGTTATACATAATGACATACATAAATGGGAATATGGTATCATGTTCTCAGTCCCATGACATATTAGTTAGTTTAGTAATGGGCAAAAATACAACTTGTAGTCAGTCGTAGATTTTATGAACAACATGCAACATATGAAATGAACCATGCATCATTTGTGTATAGTGATAATGCTTTCACTCAAAGCATTTAGTATCTACATGAGATTTTGTGGACATAATAAATATTTCATGGAGCTTTTAAGGAGGAATGAGTCAGATCATTGGAGGCCCTGGTCTCACGATATAGGGTCCAGACTTTTGTGACAGGATTTGTCTTAATGGGCTTCACTTAAATTAATGAATAGTAAGAATGTCGACAAGAGAAAAATAGGTATTTTATTGCATGTTCAAAATGTGATGGGGTTAAAGTGTGAGGCTGTGCTGGCTGGAAAACCTCTCTTGGGACTGTGTGTGCACTGTGTGAAACAAAGGAGTGATGTTGCCTCCATATGTCACCTGAATTCAAGGTGATGCTTGAATTCAGATTTTCACCAACAGTTGCATGCTCTATACTTTTTACTATACACATAATATAATATTGAACAGAACAAGCTGCTCTTTTCAGCTTCCCCTCCAGCTGGAAAGTACCAGCCTCAAAAGGAGGATCTAGAGACATAGAAACGACTAACATGCACACACACACACCAAAACACAAACATATGAAACTCAAATAATGAATAAGCATGTAAACAATGGAAAAAAACAATGGATTCCATCATTCTTTAAAACCAAAAGAAAATGGTTACTACATGGAGTCCATAGGGGCCCAAGCATGACATGACAGATTCAATATAACAGGGTCATGGCAGAAATAGAGTGAAATGTAGCAGCGCTGTACGAAACACGCCTTTGCTCTGTGTGCTCTAAGTGCTTCACTGTACACATGATGGGAAAGTTGATTTGAAGGGCAATTTAAAAGCCCAATGTTATGCCAAATTGACTCTTGTGAGCTTTAAGCCAAGTTAGAATGTTAATACCTTATCAAAAACATTTTGAGATTTGAGTTTTATATCATTCACACATGTTTGGATAACCCTTTATTATTCTGTCTACATCTCCAATGCTCTGTTCCATCTCATGATCTCATGTAATGTAGTGGTAGTTTTCAACTTAATTATAGGGTTAAAATTATCCAAATTATTTTAGTGAAGGTGTATGGTGTTTAAAAACACAGTGGAGCACTTCCTGTATTACCCCCATGACATCACTCTGTTCGAGAGAATAACTCAGCCTAAACATGCAGGAATTGTGTATTGTTTGTGAATGAAACAAAACACAACTCCAGGTATATTTTTGAAACACGATTCTAACATAGATCAGAAAATAGCATAATATAGGCCTTTTAAGTCCTATGATAGTCATTATTCTTGCTCAGAAAAAAAAAAAATTGTTATGAGGAAACAAGATAAAAAGGACAAAAGTTCAAAATGTGTTTAATAGTGAACAGGCCTTCATACATATCTAAAACAACTGATATTTTCTTTATTACATAAGAAATTTGTACCACTGGGAGCCATTAATGTTTTCCTGTAACATGCCGTGGGCCTGTCTAAAATCCAGAGTAAACCTTGTATGTGGCATGAGGCCTATTAACTAACTAAGCCACCTTAAGTAGTAACCTGGGTGTTCACAAAGGCCTATTCATTCTGGACTAAATGTTAGCTTATTTTCAACTCAACACAATCGCCGTGTTTTCATCGACTCCATGTCATCAAAACTGTTCTTTTCAGTGACTTTTTACTGTGTGTGTAAATGTAACACTTTCTCTATATTCTTTTATGCAATTCATTATATTTAGTTTCTTCAAATTGCGCCCCCTATGTCTGTATCTGATGATGACATATGGTTGAAGGCCATAGCTTGTTGGGGTGCTTGATACCGAAGGGGGAGGGGAGTCCCGTTTCCCTGGTTTCTTCTTTCTCCTGCTGTTTTCCATCTTTACTCCAAAATTAGGTCAAGAAGGAGTCATCTCATTCAACTAGCTTGTGTTGTTTTTCTCCAGGTGATTTTCTGGTGACGTTATTTAGCTTCCATGACAGCTATTTCTTTGTATTTCCTCAGCCATTTGCATCTGATGTTACCTGGCCTGGCTCCCCTTTGTCCAAAAAAGGAAAAAATGCATTTGGATATGGGAAAGTAATGTTTGAATGTGGTTTTGAAAGCTGCTATGACCACATCTTTGCCAAGACAAGCATTCCAGTGGCACAGCACAGTGTGGGATGTGATTCTAATCAGAAACGCTGTGGAAAAGTCAGCTTTACTCTCTGGAAAAAAAACATGGCTCCCTTCACAGATTCAAGTCACAAGCCAAATAGTATTTACTATGGATAATCCTAGTGATGACAGGCTAAAGGGCTGGAAATGACATTAGGTATGCTCTTTTAAACTCTAGTCTATAAAACAACAATAAGTGAAATTAAATGGCTTTTTCACATCATACCCACTGTTAACACAACAATAATACTTAAAGGTAGTTATACTAAGTGCAGGAATTAACCCAAAGAGTTGTTGTTGTAATAAAGTTAACTATTTTATTATTCCACTCCCAACAACCAGACTCTTTTCACTTTGACCTTTGTCTTCACAGATGTTTTATTTGCAAGTTCTAAGCTAGATAGCTTTGTCAAAATATATGATCTTTTGAATGGAGATAATAAAGTAAATCTGGAAGGAACCATTTGCTTGAAAACATGAATATAATCAATATCAAAGCTCAATGCTTCAACCCCCCACCAACATGCACCATAGTTCAATGACTCCAGGAAGAATAGCTCTGTGGAAGTACAACTAATTGAGGCCAAAATAAAATGCAAATGCTAAATACAAATGCTGCACTGTAAACAAAATTATGTGTTTATTTTTTAGTAATTCCTTTATAACAAATACATTTTTGTTTTAGGTGGCACTTCTGGGGATAGACATCTGTGGAGCATTCGTGGATCGAATGGGAGAACGGTTCAAAGGATACCTGGGCACAGGTGAGAACAGAACTGTACAGATGTTTTTAAAGGGTTGACTTCAAACAACATGAAATAACCAAAGCTAAAACACAGCAGCGAGTTTGAAAGGGCTATACCCAATTTCTTTCGAGCATTTTTATCCTCTGTGAACCAGGAAGTGGCACTCTGGCCTTTGAAAGATGTGAAATGCACTTATGAGCTCATCATGGTTAAAATTTAGGATGCTAGGTATGCGTATGAAAGTGAGAAATAAGTCAAATATTTCTGTTACCTTTCAATCAATTTGTACCTTATTCCCCTTCCTCTGAAACTACACGAAAGTGAGAACTGATGATTCATCTTAGTCTTCTTTTTTGTGTGTGTCTATTTTAGGTTGTTTAAATGGCTGCCATATTACATGTAGTTCATTACACTCAAACTACGCCTAACTCTCACATGATTTCATACACCAGGTTCTGTATCAGATTTTCCTTTGTGTTTGTGAGTGGCGGTAGTCCTAGCAGCTGTCTTTGTCAACTAGACCGGCTCCTGACGCCAACAAAGTCCTACTTCTCAGGAGCACAGCTTTGTAGCAGCTTATCATGACGCACAGTCCAAAGTCCGCAACCGCACACCCACAAATATATTCAACCTTGGGCTACTCTGTGTGCGAGGCACTCTCTGTCCTGGCCGTGTGTAATGAACTGTTTCAGGTTGACAGTAAAAACACGGATGGCATTTGAAATCGTCCTCCCTGTGTCTGACTTTCCCTTCTGTTTTCCTGTGCTCTCAAATTTCCACTTTGCTTCCCTCCTCCTCCTCGGCACTCAGAGGGGAGGAAGATGAGATCATTGAAACTGAGCGATTGTATTGATCTAAAGCCTTTGCTCTTTTTGCTCATGCGGCTGCACTTGTGTGTTGTATTTGTACACATGTTGACAATATGACCAAAGTACTCCCAGCAGTGTATGTGTCACCTCAAGAAAAATTACAATCTGTTGGTATTTTGATGATGTGATCTCAATCATAAAAAGATAGGTGGGTTTTGTCATCAGTGCCCAAAAAAGCACAGACATTGTTTATCTACATTTGCATTTTTTAATCTGTATTTGATGCAGTCATTTTTGCTTTCTTTTTAAGTTCTGCGTAACAGTAAATTAACTAATAGACTCTAGCAACCCAGGATGTTTTTGTGCTATTTTCTTGACTAAATGACTGAGGTCATTGTGGTTGTGCCCATTTAAAACCGAAATTAGACACCTGAAGTAACATCTGAAAGGAAACAAAACCAGTCTCTGTTTTTTAAATCTTAAAGACGCAGAGTCCATGCAGTACAACATACTACAGCATGACGCAGTCTGTGGTGACACAATGGCTCACTGTCATTTTTGTTTGAGGGTTTTGTCTTTGTAGTCAAGGCAACCAGCTGTTATGCTAACATAATGCACGCTCATGCAAAGTACAGAAAAAGGGCAGATGACATCACTGTGTTACTCCCTCATTGATGCTGCAAAGAAGGAATTTGGGTAGGAGTGTATTTGTCCATAAACCCATGCTCTTATATAATATAGTTTGGTGGAAATAAAAACATAAATCCTAATAGGACAGAACTTTTAAAAACAATCTTATTGATAATTTTCAAACATGTACCGTATTTTCCAGGCTGAATATAAGCCGCATCAACGAAATTTTAAGAAAATTAAAAAATTATACATATATAGGCCGCACTGGAATATAAGCTGCACGTGTTCTCATCTTCGAGAACATTATCAAGGGCCATCTGCTTTTATCGCCTCAAAGCTTTTGTCAGTTCGTCACTCTGCTGTCGTCAGTGTCTCACCTCAACTCACTGATGCCGAGCTCACGTGCAGCAGCTCGATTTCTTTCTTCGACAGCCACATCATTCACTGTTAACTTAAAAGCTGCATCATCTGCATTTCTTCGTGTGTTTTCCATGAAGAGGGTGTGTGTATGAAGCACAAAATAACTGTTCAAAACTTCCTTGGCGCATCATCCCCCGTCTCTCACCGCACTCTACGGCGCATGACTCCTGCAAGAGCCACTGTCCTGTCAGTGTCATGTAGGATTTCAGCAGATTTCAGGCTCTCTCGGGGGCTAGGCTAGTTCTTTCAACCAGGTATGAGTGGATGTCCGGCTACTAGGGATGGGCATTTGATGAAATTTTCTTAATTGATCATCGGAAGAATTAACGATCGATTATCAATTAATCATTAACGTTTTTATATTAAAATGATCATCATTATTATTACTATCTGCACTACTAATATATAATAATACATAAATACATTCAACTTTACGACATATAAACCATAACCACTCTAGAGCTACATCAGCCCGTTTGATAATATAATGTGTTTAATTCAGTTTTGCGCAACTCTCACAGAAACGAAACTTAATTAATTATTGCTAATTTGCATAAACTAAGCGAAGAAAAAAAAAAAAAACAGTTCTTGTGCGCTGATGCGGTCAACTTCTGTCGGATTAAAAGACATGACTCAGTGGAATACAGGTTAGTGTGACCATATTTGTGTTTGTCAAAACCAGGACACTGTACGGGGGGCGGGAGGTGGGGACTCGTCATCGACATTGCGCTACTCTCACCTGGCAAAGCTTTTTCCCCACTGGACACCGAAACATATGTGCTGCTTTGTACACTGTGCACATGGCCTCACACTTGTCCCAACCAGAAGGGAAAGCGTAGAATTGCTTGTACAAGTCATCGTTAAATACGCAGTTGTGCTTCGTCACTTTGCAGACTGACCAACTGTTTGTGTCTGCTCGCTCCTTCTGAGTGCAGAGAGCTAAATGTATGGACCTCGGTTTGGTCACCCGACGCTACGCACAGCAACCTATATTCGGTTTGTCGATGAAATTCTTAATGATCGATTAATCGACTAATCATGCCCATCCCTACCGGCTATTAAAGTTTGAGACGTTTCTTCTCGTCATTTACTCATGGGGTAAGTCGTATCCCCCTCACTAATGTTAATTTAACAGCATAATTTATTTTATCACACGGCGATAAACTATTTGAGTGCGCTGACAATATTGCTAGCTAGTGTAGCACAGACAGCGACACTTTCTGCACTCAGGATGCGTGTGTCCACTGTGTTGCCAAACCATAGACCGTATATATGAATGGACAATGTACCGGACAATGTACCAAAGAATCTGTCTATATATTAGCTGCATTGTTTTATTAGCCGCAGGGTTCAAAGTGTGAGAAAAAAGTTGTGACTTGTAGTCCGGCATTTACAGTATTGTCATTCAGTCACATTTGAGAGTAGACTGAAAACTGACCAGGATATATAGAGGTCTAAGGATTTACCAATAACAATTCTCTATTTTCACCAAATGAAGACATAAACAATGAAATGACAATTTAATACACAGTAATACCCCAGAGAAAGTGGGGAGACAGGATATTTTGATGATGACTGGGTAAATAATTTTACCTAAATAATGTTTGATTTAATTGCGACTCTTCAGATTGCATTGTTTGATTTATCTTTCAGCCACAATCTTGCATGTTTCTTTGTCTTTCTTTAAGCCATGTCATGATGTACTGTTGTGGTTAATGCAGTTTAAGTCACAGATTTGTCTTCCTGTTTGGATAACTGTCAATGGAGCAGTTGTACATCTGAATGGATGTGACATGAGTGCATTTCATGCTCTTGACATAATTTTAGTTACGGTCCATTTCTTACTTGTCCTCACTTCATCCTTCTCTGATCATACAGCCTTTGCCAAACACACATTTACTGATCTAAAAACATTACATTTGGACTGTTATGTGTATGCTTTTTCTTCCATATTATTATTTTTTTGTCGAATGTCCATGTTTTGACCTCTCGCCTATCTGGCCTTGTTTGTAGTGTTGCCAGCTCTTGTGGACCGACTGGGAGATGGGAAGGATCAGGTTAGAGAAAACAGCCAAACTCTCATCCTCCACACTATGGAGCAGACTGCCTCGCCCATGGTAAGGCTCAAATAAACATGCTTTTATGTCTTGTCTTTGGTAGATAAAGCTTGTGGATTACATATCATCATCATAATATATCACAAATGCAGGCTATCCTCTGTGAGTTAAGTGAAATACACATGAATATGTATAAGTGAGATGTCCAAAACTGTACTCACAAGATCATAGTTTTATTTTATGTTTATGGTTAGGTTTAGAAGCTACTCACAGGTATTTTTCAAGGCTGTGTGTGCAATGAATCTCATTTCTATTACTACTGTATTCAGCTACAAAGATACTGTAATCCACATTTAATTATGTTCAGAATGTTTCCTCCCACTCAGAACTTGAACCAAAGCCTCTCATGTAATCTCACAAACTAGTGACACAAAACATTATTAAAGAAATTATTTGGTATTTATTTTCTCTAAAGGTTAACATTTAGAAATAATAGTTTAAAATGATTTAAATTATGAGCCAAATAACAGTCCTAGTATCTATCTAAGAGAAGCACTTGGTGTTGCATTTTGCTAAAGTGAAATGAGTTTTGATCCCCCTCTCCTGGACATCATTGGAGCTGCACCTGCTGTATGTCAGCTGCTTTGTCTATTCACATAAATAGGCTTTTGCTCTATAATCTGTTCATTCCCCTCTGACCGCATTGCTTTGTCTTTTTAACAGCCTCTTTTCATCAAGTGTGTTATATTAATTCATTATGTGTCTTTCTTTGTATATTTCTGCCCTCTCAGTATGTTTGGGAAAGGCTGCTCCCTGGTTTCAAACACAAGAACTTCCGCAGCCGAGAAGGAATCTGCCTTTGTCTCAGTGCCACCATCACCACGTGAGTAGCTTCCCCTTTTACTCATGTATACTTCCTGGTTATATTTAAAGCTCAAATGAATTAAAAGTTTTTATTTTGTGTGCAAGTCAATCATCAAACATGTAGAATTTGTTTAACTTTTTATTTTATTATGTTCCAAGTTAAAAATGGTAAAGTCACATTTTCTTGAAGGATGTTTGTGCTGTGAACTTCCAGTCTCCAGGATTAATCCTCTTAAGTGTTAGTGTGACTATAAAGAAGGCATACGTGTTCAAGTACGGCCACCACCATGTCATGTGACTATATAGCCTCACTTTTGTAATGTTACTTTTACAACAAAGGCTTAAAATGTAATCTTGTTCATGTAATGTTATCCCTCTCAAGACGACATAACACCAGGTCCTTTCAATGGCACCATTACAAAAATATACAGATGTATTATAGTTATGTAACCCCCAGACTGTACAGAATGAGTGTTTTTAAGTAAATTCAAATGTAGTATTTTTTTTTATAATATGTGAGCTAACCTTAGTAAGTCTTTCACAACTCGGGTTTCAGTGCTATTTAACATTCATTTACTAATGAAAAGTGACACCTGTTTGGTGAATGTCAAACTTAATAAGTCTGC